TGCCCGATTCTGCCCGTTATTATGTGAAAGCCGTTTTCCTTGCAACATTGCCCCGAAAAATGTGTTTATTTTGGTCCGCGGTGTCAGAACAAGTGTCACGCGCCCCCTCGCGCCGTGATTTATGACCACGAATCCTTCATGATTCAGCCGCGGACCCCAAAACCCCACATTTTCGGGGCAATGTGGCAAGGGAAATCGGCTCTCACATAACAACGGGCAAGATCGGGCAGCCAAATTTGGTATCAAATTGAAGCTTAGACATCAGGGAAAATGGTGGTATTAAGATTTAAGCGGTACACCGCGGAGATCTAAACATTTCTTCTGGATTTATAAAAAACATGGATAATTAGTCCATTTTTCAGTGAATTACCTTATAATATATCATGAAGATTGTGTTTCTATTAATTTTAACCCATTTATTCAACGAAATGAACTATCAGGAATAAGTGAGAGCAATTTCATATCAATAACTTAAAAACTTCATGTTGAATTCAAAGATTTATAAAATAAGTCACTTTTGCACTAAAACTGTGAATATGTAGGATTTTGCTGTTTGAAGTAGTAAATTTATACCCTTATTGTGCATACCGGAATTAAATATTTCACTGAGGTATTCTTCTATGTATCACCTTTCAACTGGGCAAGAAAAAAATTGGAAAAGAAAGATCATCCAAACTTAGTTTTGGCGCACTTTGGTTCCTCCCTGGCCCACTGTGCGTTGGCGCTTATTTACACCCGGTGGGACCCGGCGAAAGTTTTGGGCATGTTCAAAACTTTGGCCGGCTGGCACCGGCCGCAAGTAAGCGGCAAGAGGACGGGGTTGAACGGTATGAGGACGGTATGAATACGTTATGAAAACGGTCACACTGTATGAACACGTTCACAACACGCTCATAACCCGTTATAGAACGGTGATGAAAAATGGAGAGCGGACTGACCGTTGCCGTTCAAATCGGGATATTTATGGCAGTCGTGTCATGACGTCAGCAGTCCGGGGACTCGCTCACAGGACGCTCCGAGCGGTGAGAGGACGCTAAGTGACTGGTAGGTGGCTGCTACAAACCCGGTGCACACGTTCGAGACCCGGTATGGGCCCGGTATGGAAATGGCCAAAATTTTCAACAAAAGTCAATCTGGGCGGTGAAGACGGTAAAAGCACGTTCAACACCCGGTATGCGCCCGGTGAGAACGGTCAGAAGATGGCAACGAAACGGTGAAAAGATTAATTTTATGATTTTTTTTTTTTTGCGGCCGGGGACAAGTTCGCTCAAAACCCAACGTTCTGAACTCTGTTGTTTTTTTAATAGCCCGGCAGGTGGACGGTAGGCCTACACGGCAGAGTGTGAGAGCTCCATAAGGCCTTTAAAAAAAGATGATACATTGCCCTTTTGGTGCCAATACATGGGTCGGTCGGTCGGAAATCTTTTTTATTTCTTCTTCTTTTTTCTTTCTTTTTTTACTCCCTCCTTGGGCTGATATTTCTCAGTTTTGAATGCATTTTTTTCTAAAAAACAGAAGAAAAAAAATAAAGCCGATCGTACATTTCAAGATTTGTAGGTCTTATAGAATGCTATAGCTGGAAAATATATAATGCAAGACCTCTCAGCAGGCATCTGAATCTATTTGGCTACTGCAATTTTTTCCCCTTTAGAATCACTGTAATTTTTTCCCTGTTACACATGTTCTGTTATATCTTAAAGATGAGTTTTAGATCAAATTACAAACAAAATTTATCTATTGATTTAGGGTCATTAGAGTAACACATACTTGAATTGATCGATTAAAATAATTCTTAAACAATAAACAAATAAAACAGTACAGGGAAAACATTAACAAAATATAACAAAGGAGACAAAAATATGCTTGTGTAGGGAACACCTAATGGTTAAAAGATGAATAAATGATTCCTTGAGATCAATGGGGAATAATAATAATAATAATAATAATAATAATAATAATAATAATAATAATAATAATAGGCATTTCTATAGCGCCATCTATCTAGACAATTCTATTCCGAGGCACATTTATTATTACCCTGGCTGTAGCCTAGCAGCCGTTTATATAATGTCAGCCGATCCTGAGCCTAAAAGTAAACGTGCCTTCACTCATGACGTATCGTACTGTACTGTATGCTTATGATGGCACTTTTGTTAATGGGGGTGATGAGAAACAATTATAGTGAAAAACATTTTTCACCCAATCATTTTTTTTCAAAGAGTTTCTTTTCTTTTTTTTCTTTCAAACATGAGCTACGAATTAGAATGTTAAATCACCATTTTCTTAAATGTCCGAGGAGTGTTTGTTAAAAGTGACATTCTACCATTCTGAAAAAATAGTCACTATTCGGCCCTTTTAAATGGTGGCTTAACAGTTTAGTTTCTAGAGTGATATAGAAGAAAATGATATGACAACAGCACTTTAATCTTCGAATAGTCGTTCTTTTTTTACTCATCCGATTTGATATGAGGGAGCAAAATTGTATTCAATATATTGGACGCGCTTTAAGACTGAATTTCAGTAGAGCTCCCGATAAAATTCGGGGAATATACATTATATCGAGATTAACTTAGAGCTGTTCATTTTAGCTATGTTTACTCACCCAAAGTCTGTCTTGAGCTCGCACGATCAGATCACAATGATATAGGTTTATTATTCACTTCAACAGATATACCACATGCTTTGCGGGAGATATAATGATAGGTTCTGGACCGCAAGCTGGCTTTTATACCAATGTCGTTGAACGAACAAGCCGCGGCAGCAGACCAATACTGTTGAGGATGTATTAAGCCTGAGGGCAGTATATCATTTTCTATGTTTTAAATATGGATCAATAACAAATCCATTTATCTATCTTTTTATCTATGAGGCTAATTTCCAACAATTGCCAAATTATTGAATGAAGGAAGAATAGTAGATTGGCCTAATAATGGTAATAACAGGCCTACCGATGTGACTTCCCTGGGTAAATACGATCTTTAGTGGTAAGATATGATGTTGAGCAACAGTATATTATGAGCTGTCTTTTTCGCTCTACTCTACTTGACTAGACTTGTACGTTGTAACACTCGATCAGGTCGACTATATAAGTAACTCCGTTATTAATGATATAGGCCAATTTAATTTCATGAATTTTACGTTAATAATCCAGTGTTAATACGTTAAGCTAAGAGCCTCTCTCGAAACAGTCACCACCTTTTAACAATAACATTTCACCTCTCAACATTATTTCACCCGCATAACTCATTTATAACCCATAGCCTCTCTTTTACAGGTACATGTAAGAGTACACTAGTATGACTGTTCCATGTCACACAGATTTATATAATTATGTCATATAATTATTTTGTAATAATATCATTTCTCACTGTACAAGCTACATTGTTTATTGTTAATTTGTGATTACTCGAGAAACTATACCACTTGTTTAATTTCTTATTTATATATTTGTTTGTTTTATTTATGTATTGTGAAACAAAATGTTCATGTATATGAATGAAGCTTACTAATAAAATTCAAATTCAAACTTATAAGATGATATGTATAAAGGACATAATAACATACAATTTTATTTTGTACTGATTTCTTTTTATTTATAAATATAACATATTTCCAGTCACTATCAAAATGAACAGACCCTATTTTACTTAAAGTTTTTTTTCTTGACATACCTTCTTCAATTTATAGCTATTATACCTATTTTCCAATCGATACATTATGGAGAAAAAAATTAAAGGGCTTGTAAGTGTTTTTTTTAAATTATTTTGTAACTTCCTCTTTTCATTTCCTAGGAAGTCTACTTTTGGCCGATCAATGTATACATAAACAGATAAATACGTACATAAACAAAAATCTCTTTTTTAAAAAGGACATAATAATAATGAAATAATAGATGAGATTTATATCAATATCCATGTTTTTGAGAGAAGGGACTATTATTAATATACGGTATACAAAAGCGACGATGGAACATAATTCTAGGTCTCTCCGTAGAGCAGAGATCAACTTCAATATAATTTTGGATATTTGTATATATTTTACTTCGGGTACACCAAATAACGATCTTGGAAATAACAAAGCCTCTGAATGAGCTTCAATGAGCTTCAACCTGAACTGTACTATACTACCACACTCAGTGACGTATATGGTTAGGGGTGTAGGTGCTCCAGGCCCCATTGAATGCAAAAAGGGGGGAAAGGAAAACAAACATGGGGAAACAAAAGGGAGGGGACTGATGTATCGCGAATGAAAGACGATACGACCACCTCCCACGCGGGGCCAAGTAAAAGTAGCAGAGGTAAAAATGTGAAATTTTCACCTCTGCTATTATTACCTTTAACATGTTTATTTCTGACATTTTGACCTCCAGGTATTTTACAAAAAAAAACTCCCACACATTCTTCATTTTCGTTGGCTTTGTCAATTCAAATTTCATGTATGGTGAATGTCGGGAGCCCCCCCCCCCCCCCTCCCCCCTCAATTTGTGCAGCCAAGTAAAAATCAACTCTAATTTACTTTCCTTCTTCTCCAAGTAAAAGTGGAATCATCTCTAATTTACTGCTCTGATTCAGTCGTTTGAGTGTGGATTCCAACAGTAGTTAGCGTTGATTTCCACTCTGAAACAAAAGGATCCCTACTATTCACTATGAACATGACGGACAAAGAAAGAGGACAAAATATACAGTTCCTCAGGTAGACAAAGGAACATCCCTTCACTGCTATTATGTAAAAATGTGTAGAACAGGTGTCACATGCATATTCACCTGTTCTACACATTTTTATCTTTTGTCTACCACAGCAATTGTTGAGGGTAGAATGAGGAACTGTATACTTTGTCCTCTTTCTTTGTCCGTCATGTTCATAGTAATTGCTCCTATAGTGTATAAGAATAGATTTCCAATCCTGTTCGCTATTTTAGAGAGTAAATGCCTGAATCTACGTACGCTACGTCACATAATGCTTTATTTTCATATTTTTTAACAGTATAATAATAAATGTGTAATATTAGGTCCATTTATATAGCGAAGCTATATGTACTGTATGAATATACTTTACTGCGCCTAAGACGAAGTATCATAATTACCCCGGCAGTAGCTTAGTCGCCATAATAAGGTGTATAAAGCATGTAGAATTTCCTTTCTATACTGGGTACCCATACTTCACTTGGGTGGAGAGTGGCAAATGTATGTCTTGCAAAAGGACATTGGTACCGCGACGGGACTCGAATCGCGAACAATGTGATCCACAGTCCATTGACGTATCCGCTTGACCACGACACCTCTACATGACTATGTTTAACGATCAGACGATTGAACTAATTAATTTGGTGATTTCTCTTTGCACGATAAACTTCATTGCTCAGGATGTATATGATGATTGCTGTGAAGGCTGGGATGAACATGGTCAAAGACAGGGAGATTGCTGGATGACTACCGTAAAAAGCTTGACCGCTGCAAACAACAAGAAAATCCGAATTAGAGAATATTATCAGATTATCAAACGAGATTAAACATGGGGTATTTGGTGAAGACGGGCTGTAAATTCGTACCTAGTAAAATAGAAAGCCTCCCAACCTGTTTAACAGGGACCACCAGTGTCCTTATATTTAAGGTAATTATTTTCTTCTCAATGAGTGCATGGGCAAATCAGTACGACTTTCAGTGGCATATATTAGCTATGGAACGGTACACGTTCCCCCTATAATCGGATGCCGAAAAAAAAACATTTTTAAAAATAAAGAGCGAGAAAGCGAATAAAAAAGAAGAGAAGAGTAAAAGAGAGAGAGTGTGTGTGTGGGTGTGAGAGATGAAAGAGAGAGAGAGGGAGAGAGAGAGAAGTACAGATAGAAACAGATGGAGAGAGAGAGAGAGAGAGTAAGAGAGAGAGAGAGAGAGAGGGAGAGAAGGGGCGAGAGAGAGCAGGGGAAGTGGAGGAACGTGACAAGAGGTGATAGAACCTCTGTTCCTTCCACCCTCCCCAATCGATGGCCTTATTTCGAATTTCATCTACCAAAAGGGGTGTGCACCCCCGTTATTACCGATGCCCCCTTAAAGATAAACTCCAGTACTGGTAAAAAAAAAATAATAATTCTCACAGAATCAAACGAAACTTACACTGAATGTTCAAGATTACAAATAAATGACATGTGCCAAACAATTTTGGAAGAAAATGTATACTGGCTGAGTAATGAGCATAGAAAGACAAGGAAATCAAGGTAGTACTAGCCCCGACACCATGTGTGTTGTCCCATATATAGCTTTCTATGTGAGTGCTTGTTACTTTACCAAGACTCGGTCAAATTTATTATGATTTTGATGACTCCAGAACCTTGCAGTGCACACCAATACTACATGATCAACTGTTTCTGATCCTTTCCACACCTTTTCTTTCACAATGCAATCGCATTACCAGTACTAAAGTTTATCTTTAATGTCTGGACTCACGCTACATCATTGTAACCAAGGAGTCAATCCCCAATCCTACTTACAATTGAATTCCAGTGAGACAGGTAGCCGTAGCAGACACCAGTGTCAGGATCCCGATGAAAGCGTGGAGGTGCAAATAGGACACTTTTAACCATTCAGGTGCGCATGGTGTGACGAAGATAAACAACGCACATATAAACTGCGACGAGAAAGGAGAAAAGTGTTTGTTTAATATTGGTAATATATCAATATTTCTGTTTGAGGAAGTCATGGTGTGGATGCAAAATTAGACAAATTTAAATCTTAGAATGTAAATGGCAGCATCGAAATTAAGGAACGACATACCACTTTGGATCAGAGAAATATATTGTATTTTTTGTATGCCACCTCCAAAATGTTTTATTTTAAACGCACTCCTTCACCGGATGAGCTTATTGTATGAGTCTACCGTTTAGCACATTCAAATCTTTGTGAGCACTTCGGTATCTTTTTGTTTTTAGCGCCTCTAGTTTTTATTGTAGTTATCATATATCTAGAAAACAATTCCTGTCTTATTTGATAATGGGTATTACAATGACACATGGCACACCTAGGTAAAACTGTACTATAACTTTGAAACTTTCAATTGGTTATATAACTTCTCTGTCAATGTGTCAACAAGGTCAATTAATTATCATGATTTTTCTGACGACTCGAAAAGGACACGAATTTCGAGAGGGGCTGGGGGTGTTAAGCGGGATGTTTAATACCTGTAAAACGAACAAGGTGGTGGTCGCAATGCCCAGCACGGCATGAACGTTGTCCAATGTCTTCCCTATGATGGAGGTAACGGCAAGGTAGATGCCAATGGCTGTACATGCGAGCACGATCATCATCATCACTACATGACATGTTTTTACAAGCTTGGGACGGATAGATAGCCGGTCAGAGATGCGATAGAGGAGTGTGCCTGCATGTGTGAAAGGAATAGATCAAATCCAATCCAAATATTCAGCTCCATGTATTGACACAAAATCCCGTTTTGGATTATCATCAAATACATGAAAATATGAAATGAAAATTAGTCCTTATAATAATCTGAGGGGTATGCCGTGTGTGGAGGCACACTCTGCACAGTGTTGAGCTGGCACACTTCCCCTCTCCCATTTCCAAACCCTAATGCCTTTAAACAAATATTGGCCCCTCCCCCTTTATCTATTTCTGGATTGTTGTCATTTGCCATGTAATTTTTCAACAACCAACGACTCGAAGAACTAATAGTCATCTTCAGTATTCCAAAATTTTAAATTTAAAATGCAATATCATTTTAAGGGGCGTTGTCTATCATGATTGGGGGGGGGGGGGCCTAATTCATACTGTGTTAAAAAAATTCAATAGCCATGACAATAATGATAATGATGACATGAATAGCATAGGTGTTTGCGAGGATGACACAACCGGCCCTTTTCAAACCCAATTTAAGTTTTGAAAAAACTTTCTTTTCATTTCTTATTTTTTAATTCTTTGCTTATGAAAATTTGTCAGTCTAATCCTCCCCCTTAACAGAATGGTATTCAGCTTATTAATACAAAATACTTCACATACACAATAAATATATTGAAACTATATCACTGATAATGTAGGCCTAATGTTGATTATGCTATTGGGGGTTGGATGAAGAAAAAATAGGAAATACATTCAAATACTTACTATTTCCGAAAACGAAAACCATGCCCACCGTCATAATGAAAGGATGAATATAAATTTTTCCCAGAAGGTCCCAATGAAATCCAGATCTAACCGGGTAATAAGCCACCCATACCCCTATGAGGACCACCGATAGCATCCCTAAGATCTCGGCTAAGATGACGAGGGGTGTAAAGAGACGCCGCTTCAAGTCCCTAATAATTGACGGCGCTGGTAGATCCATGATGTCGATGAAAGTCCTTACGAGAGCTATGATGACAAAGAAGGGGAGATCGAGAAAGATATAATGTTGACTAGATGACATCTATATTGGACGCATATGCGGCGCGCTACCTCATTTCCATTTATGTTTACTAAAAGTAATCAAGGTTCCACCAGCTTTCTAGCACTATTTTAACATTACACGGTTTGATCGTGTATCATGGAAACATTATAAAACTACATACACTACATCTGCATTCACATTTTGTACATCACAAAGCACATGATAAATCCAAAGCTTTGTGCTTTTTACCAATCTGTTCACGTGAAAGACACATGTGCAGAGGCGGAGGTGGATTTAACCGTGTATCGTATAAAGCATAATAACTTCAAATGATGCGTTTACCTCTTTATCGCGTAGGTTGATGCACCTTCAAAGGTGAACACTTAAGTATTGATAAATAACTGATAGTACTGAAGTACCCTGATAGTAAATGTAATGTGGAGTATGGTTATGTAAACAGGAACACACGACTGCTGATATACAGTGTGAGTAAACACGTAGAGGGAAGGGCATTGGAACAACGTGAGGGGCCACAAGTCTTAATACCCGGAAATGGCATTCAAAACAAGGCTCCTGATTAGGGGGAGGGTATCGAAAGTTTTCATGACATTTCCCCCCTTCTCCCGTTCCCTTCTCTGTTTGCTCGTTTTTTCTATTTAGTTTATTCATCTATCGGGTGTACACATGCCTCCGTGCTCCCCCTCCTCCGCCTTGCAAATTCGCATTTCATTTCCATATAATACCGGTGCCCCAACCCTGCCTCCAAATCCTCTCAGTGTCCCCTCAGTGGGTGGACCCACGCTGCGCCATTGTTTATCATGAACCCGAAACAAGAGAAAGATTTGTTTTGTCCCCTAGCTCTTATCCTGGGAATAAATTCCCCAATCTGACAGCTCATATATGCTGCCATCTTTCGATCAGTTTTGACCAGTCTAATGCTGATCATATTGTGCGTATCAATACTTGAAGGCCCGTATGCTCGACTTTAGTAACTCCTAATTCAAATGGTACAACCTATAATGACCTTCAAATGCATGTGTTATGGTAATGAGTAACTTATATGCTGTCGAATGATTAACCATTCATAACTGATGCGCTGCCACGAATGAGTGAGCATGCCTTGAAGTCATGATGACAGAAAACAAGTTTTCACTAACCATGCAAGACATCTCAGGGTCACATTGCTTAAAACTTTTTATTTAGCATTAAAGATAAACTCCAGTTCTGGTAAAAAAATGAAAATTAATTATCACAGAATCAAACGAAACTTACACTGAATGTTCAAGATTACAATGGATGTCATGTGCCAAACAATTTTGGAAGAAAATGTATACTGGCTGAGTAATGAGCATAGAAAGACAAGGAAATCAAGGTAGTACTAGCCCGGACACCATGTGTGTTGTCCCATATATAGCTTTCTGTGTACAGTGCTTGTTACTTTACCAAGACTCTGTCAAATTTATTATGATTTTGATGACTCCAGAACCTTGCAGTGCACACCAATACTTACATGCTACATGATCAACTGTTTCTGATCCTTTCCACACCTTTTTTCACAATGCAATCGCATTACCAGTACTAAAGTTTATCTTTAATACTAATGTTTCAGTACACTTACTTAGTACTGCGCACTGTACAATGAAGTAAATAAATGAGACATCCCCAATATGCTGTCGTCGATCATACTAAATGTGTGTACAATTAGATTATGAGCATGTAGCCCATGTTTCAACATTGTACACACAATTGTCTTCTGATATTAAATTAATTTAAACAAACGCACAGATGTAGTTCCTTGAGCAGAAATTCAAAAGGAATTTGCGAGAGGGATCATGGAGAAGGCGATAGAAGATGTATGAGGAAGAAAAGTTTCTTTAGGAGAAGAAAATCATTTCAAGAGGATGGAAGGGTGCAGGAAGGGGCGGACCCAACCGGCGGCATGGGAGGGGGCAAAAGAGGGGCCCAATTCGTGAGAAAATTTGAAAAAACTCGCCAGCCGATATTTCGCTTAATGGGGGGGGGGGGGGTGAGCACTCATTTGTTTACATTTTTTACCCCCGTAAATTTGAAAATCAAGCCGACGGATATTTTTTGGCTAGGGAAGGGGCCCGTCTTTTTCTTTTTTAACAAAGCGGTAACAATTTACGTGTTTTTATCTGATTTTTTGGACAGGGGACGGACCCCCCCCCCCCCCTCCCTCCCTGGATCCGCCACTGGGTGCAGGAGAGCTACAGAGGAGGATGATATGGAAGAATATTGCTGATACAGAGGCATGACGATGGCACATGCGATCCTCACACTACACCCCTCCCCCTTCCCCATCACATTGCGACATAAAAGGGCAAGATAAAATGAGAGAGCAAAGGAAAGAAAAGGAATGTTAATAAAATAAACCTTACTTGTTAGGACTACCAAATAATCCCGTAAAAGAGGGCAAAATCGGCAAAATTATGCGATTGATCGTCAGAATGAGACTTATCTTCAGTTATTCCCCACTTTACCAAATTTGTTTTTCTTCTTCATTATTACAGCCTTTTTGTATGTTCTAAAAGTTATGAATTTTACTCTTTTCGAATTTTTGAATTTCTATAACTTTTTGGTCTGTCCTTATGTCAATTTATATTCCCTTTGTGGACATTCTTCATGAATACAAGCGAAAACATTATGCTTGTTCTGACTATTGCGACAAGGAAATGGTAGAGAAACGACCGGGCAAAGATATTTGCAAACAGCCATTCTCTATTTTAGTATTTACAATATTGTACAACAACAGAGAAAAGCTCAAATAATGCATCATTGTCTTACCTGAGAATCCACTCTGGTTTGGCGAAAACGTAGCCGGGAGAGACGAGGTCCTGTGAAAGCCCACTAAACAAATGCCGGCTTCCAAAAATATCAATTAAGTTCCTTGTATTAAAGCTTTCTCACATTACATGAGTCACATGTGAATGAATTTAAAAACACAACGATATAAAGTTTATTTTATAGCTTCCATGTGATGCCAAATGAAGACGTAAACGTCAGATGTCGGAAGTTGTAAGAGAAGATTTATCTGACAGCATGCAGATTGCCTGAATATCATAATACTTATATCACGGATAGTAAGTAAATAGGTGTGTCCGCCTGTACTTGGTACCGAGTGCACTACCATTTATTAGACTGGAATAAGAGATCAATCCCCTGTATAAGTCTAGATTCTATCAGATATCATTACATAATAGGCATTCTCGTCCATCGATTAATCCAATAAATCTCAGACTGAACCTTGAGCCTATCAATATTTACTTTATTGTCTGTATCAGTTAAGTATTTGTCCGGTCATATCAATGAAATGCTTCATCATTGTTGTCGCATGAAATTCTTTCATTTGTAAAATGGCATGTGAAACCGATTTGTGTGTAATCAATCTTTTTTTTTTTTTCGTACAGTTACTTGCATTAACCGGGCGTTGAACTTTGGCCACATCTTTCTTTTGTAGTTTGTTTCGAAGTTTGGGACCGCGCTTAAGGGAAAATATAAAAACTATACTTCTAGCGACTTTTCAAAGAAGAATTATATCACTGGCGGTTTATTTGCCTACATTAGGAAGATTGCACCTAAGAGGATCTGGGGGGGGGGGGGTGTTTCACAAAGATCCTAAGTTGAACTTATCTCTAAGTTGGACTTAACAATTATGGAAAGCCGCTAGCATCTTTGAAAATATTTTGTAAAAGTTATTTTAAAAGGCATAAATGTTGATTTAAATCATCTATATTTTCTATTATCCAGGAGATTTCATGTTCTTGATGTGGAATCTATGAAAAGTCTAAAACACTTCCATTTTTGCTTTTGGGTATATTTTAGTTTAAGGCTACAAACGGCTCTCCATAATGTTTAAGTCCAACTTAGAGTTAAGTTTGACTTAGGATTTTTGTGAAACACTCCCCTGTAAGCACCGACCCGCTGTGCGAGGCTTCAAACAATGGAATTGGACAATCTAATCAAGAACGTTGTGGCGTAATGGCTCGAGTAGAAGAACCCATTTTAAATCCAAAACACTTTGCATACAGAATTTTTTTTTCATTTGGTTGGGAGTATAACAAAAAAAATCATAACATGAAGTTTAAAGCGTCAACTAATCATAGAAGATAAGCTTTTCTCTGCTTGAATGTGGATTTTCTGAAGCCAAGTGGTACACTACACGGTTTGTCAATATTAAAATGGAAAAAAATACCTTAATTTTATCATTGGGCAATACATATTGTGCCATAGGGGGTATGACCTAGAAATAGGTGCCCTCATTTCCATCCACACACACAAAATGGAAACCAAATGCCCCCAAATAAAAAAAATGCTTCATACTTTCATTAAATGTTCATACTACCTGAAACTAAATCCAAGGGCAAAACAATGGGACTGCCCCATTGCCGGGGTTTTATGTTTATTTTTGTGTTAATTTATCATTTTTTATTAGCTTTATTTATTCATTTATTCATTCATTTATTCATTTATTTATTCATCTGTTATCTTTATATTTGTTCATTTCTTATTATTTATTTATTCACTCACTCATTTATTTAATATTTTTTTATTCATGATCTATTCATTTGATAGTTTGTTCATTTTTTTGTATTGACTTTTATATTTCAAGAATATAAATTGGGGTCCCCCACTCTCTTTACTGTGCCACGGCCACCAGGACGACCTCCCCTGAGGTGGAAAGACCAAATCCGCCAAGACTCTGGATTAAGCCTGGAGGCTGCCCAACACCTAGCCCCGGACAGAAATGAATGGAGGCAGACCACCCGTAGGAGCGCAAGGGGACACTCCGTCCTGAGCACTTAAGTCAAGTAAGTAAGTCACTCTCTTTGTAAAAGTCCTATCTGCATACGCCACCGCAATAAGTATGTTCGTTCTCGTTGTGAGAGTTCATTCCCATCAAATATTGCCTATTCAGAAAAATGTATTAACCTCCAATCAGAAACAAGTCATTACTTTACAATAAAAAAACACACAAGCAGATGATTATCCATGTAATAATAGAGTTTACTTAGAATCTTCAAAACAATTAACAATCATTAATACAATATAACAAGAATTCAATTGACATTATAAAGGACATGAAATAGAAACGAGCATGATGAATCGAATTTGGTCATTTCATTTTAGACGAGAATGCAGATGTAATTATATTCAGAGGTCGTGGGTATTTAAGGTATTTATCACATTGGCCAAGTCAATGCTAACGGAGAAATATATTGAGTCTATGCAAAATAAAAGCTACAGAAAACATGATAATCATAAATATAGCATATATTAATTGATTTAAATTACAAAACAATGCACATTATAATGAAAAGTACAAATCAAAGATAAAATATTTAAGATCATCGTTCAACACTACTGATAATATCAATCTTTCTTCATTTTTGATTATGTCACAGATGCACGTTAATGTGAAAGCCCTTTAACTATTTCCCTCGTATTATATTGAGAAAATATTTTTATTTTTGTTCTGTTAAATTGATGGAAACAATTGAGTTAAGTTATTAGCACACAATAAAAAGGAGAAATAGTCCATGTACAAATGTTTTGCACCGCGTAACATTAATTAATTTCTCATGGGAACTTCTTCATAATCTATTTAATAATGATTAGCAAGTTGAAAATGTTTATCTTCAAAATCTCATATAATGTCATTTAATTTTCAGAATGTTATGTTCCACCCCGTCTTTTTTAAACATTACTTTTCCAAAGGGTCCCAAAATTGCTCCATAAGTTTGTTTTTGAGAGAATATTTTTAAGCACCCCCTTTGAACTTTTCGCCTTCTTCCTACATTAAACATTAAATATTTCATTTATTCATTCTGTTTTTGTGAAGACAAATATGTATATTTTTAAATTAGATTAAATTAAACACTATTTAATCAATTTCAAGGAGGTTCTTTCATAGCCAATCATATAATCATAATAATATTCCGCTTATATCGCGCTTAAAGCCCCACTGTCCTACTGGTAGCTACTTGCTCCCTCTATATAGAAAATTTCCCCAATCGGTGCCTCTTGGTCCCCCATGATCCTCTTTTTCTTATGTTAGTTGAGAGCTGAGTTAATGAGATAGCCACCTGTCAGTGACCTCGCTGTGTGGTCTAATCCCCTCTGGCCCAGTAATGTTGACGGTTGTTTTTTACATTATAACGCGGGATGTTGCGTTGTGGGGCAAAACAATGAATAATGATAATGGTATAATATTGATAATAATAATAATAATAACCAGTTGGCCTAACTCTGCGAGGCTTCAGGCTCTTCGTAATATACCTTCATCTATAGCATTTCAAGAATCTTTTGGGGAGGAACTAGATATTTTTTAAAAATCAGGGATTCTGAACTTGGAAGTCAATTATATTTCTGTATACTCATATTGTTAATCATGCCGCCCATTGTTTATTAGTTCTTCGAACAAAATAATTTAGGAAATAATATATTAATAACGATCGACACGTTAATCTACATCTGAAACAACTGAACCTATAGGACATACATTATATTTGATACACGACCTCTGAATTCCTGACAAAATCATAATACATTGAAATGTTAAAAGATGACCATCACTTTTTGAGCGCACATAAGCACTTCATGATAATGACACCAGCGGCAAACGGTTATCGGCACTCTTTTTCTATTTACAAGCATTTAATGATTTATTTCTAATGTCTCAGCCTCTATGCACGTTTGTCAATTTCCATTGCTTCAGCTATTTTACATCTCCTTTGAGTTTGTCCATATGATCTTTTATCTGAGACAATAATAATAATAATAATGTGTCCAGATTTGATTCGAACACTGTGGCTAAAACTACAGAAAATCAACCAAGGGCATTTTCAATAACCTTGTTTGCCACCCGCTGAAATGTGTTAATCCGAACATGATTTATACCGGGTATTGAAATTATCCTCGACTTGTTTTTTATCGAAAGTCTCTGCGATTGTGTATGGCGGAATAATGACGGTAAGGACAGTGAAACGTTCCGGGAAGAGATTGTTCCCTTATGGCATTATCCGCTTTCAATTCTATAATTCCTTAATCAAATACGAATTATTTATACCGAAATACAAAATCGATTGCAGTGATCTAGGCCTATATCAAAATAATGTGCCACTTAAAGTTCATATTTCCATCAGGTAATATAATCTTTTTGCTGTAGCGATCTTTCGTTTTGTTGAGTCACAAACTGGCTCTCAAGGATAATCTCGCTTTTATTTAACAAAAAAGAAAAAACACCATAAAATTCTCAATCTTTTTATGGATTTTTCAAAAAGAATAAAACCTGGTATGGACACATCCTCCGCCACGACACGCATGAAAATGGTCATGCATTGTTTTCGTATATTAAACGAAAATCACAAAAAAGCTCAAGACACTTGAATGGTGTGGAATTCCCTTAAAACATTGACATTTTATCTTCAGTACACATTTTTATACTAAAGCTACAAAAACAGAGTACCACTAAAACGACACGACTGTCATTCAAATGTATACTACAAATCTTCGAGGAAATTGAAAAAATAATACACAGCAAGATTTTTTTACAAAGACGAATGTTTTTAAGTTATGTCACTTAAATCGAACTTTGTTTCCTATTCTTGCCAGGAATTCAAATTGGATATAATAGCAACCATCAATGACCAACATTTTTTTCCTAAACTCTTGAATTGTTAGCCTTATTGTCCTATTGTATTTCCTTGGAGCTGCACCACCACCACCACCCTGGAAAAGCTGTCCTCACTTTTACTACAAAACACTATGGGATTTGTAATCTACCTACGAAGTCAACTTCAATTGTAAAACTTTGAAAGTAAACCCTCTCGAAACAGGTGGCAAGCAAACCAACATTTCTCGCAAATCAAAGTTCACACCTTATCCCAAGGAAAATAAATGCTAAACTGTGAATATAAATTACGGTCAGTTTGATTTCATATATTTTACCCTGGTATTTTCATAGCCAGAGTAAATGACACTCGCCTCCTTGACTATGTTCCCATGCGTGACATGGTGACAGGGCGCCCTCTGAAGCTTGACGTCTATACTCTATCTACTCGATCTAGTCTGCTCTGAAAGAGTGTTTTACACTAACCGGCTCTCGGTGAAACTGCTTTAATATGTCTAGGGCTGGAGGATACATGTACACTATTTCTGTTATTCTATGTGTTATTTAAGTATTCCAGACTCATGAATTGCCCGAATTCACGAGGAAGGTTTAAATTTAACCCATGGTTTCAATCTTCATTTACATAACTAATGGTCTGAGACTTCTAATATTGGACCTCTGAATGTGTACGCGATGAGATTCGCTAATTTTAGACCATGGGTTATGTAAATGAAGATTCAAACCACGGGTTGAATTTAAATCTCCTTCGTGAATTCAGGCCATTAAATCTCACTTCCGGTGACTGACGATGCTGCTCCACCCTACTCCACCTAACATCAGCCTAGAGCTCGTTTTCAAGGAGAAAATGGGACAGCGGAAAAACTCTCTGTTCTGAAACAATCATTAATTGTGTCAGATTTACTTCAGAAGGAGCAAAATATTTGCAAAAGTTAAAAAAGCATCGTGGTATTAAGCGTCGATTCAAGAAACATTACGTCAATATAGTACATAATTTTTGTAAAATGTAATGAAAGATCTTTTTTTTGTCATGAGAAACGTTGACGAAAGTTCAAATCATTTTTGTACAATGTTGAGTCCGGGCCTCAGAGACGCTGAGTTCAGACTTCGGTCTCAATGTTACTGAATATTTGTCTTGAATCACTATCATTGACATCGTGTTTGGTGTGGCCTTCACTGCAAGCCATATCGCAATCGCATTCCTCCTCATCATCCTCAAAAACATCGCTTTTCTCTTCAGTTCCATCCTCTAAGAGGATCCTCTCATCGCGATCACTGTTTGGAGTGTCATCAGAAGCCTCCTCGATCTTGATATCAATCTTGGTTTTCTCATTCACCTCGACGTCGTTCTCGAGGTCATCGAAGTCGGGTGGATGGTGATCATACATGTTGCTCCGATCTGCAGCGCCATCAGGCGTCGGTCTCGGCTCAGTAGGGTCAGGTATCGCGATGCTGTTGCCTAGGGAGCCATTTCCCACGTGACCATTGGACGAATCGCCTCGCGAGAATTGTTTCTTCAGCGCGAAGAATCGTTCGCCGATCGTCGAGCGCCCGATGCTGGTTTCAAACACGGAATGGTTCTTCATCGAATCTTTCCGAGGCGGTGTCGAACACGATGAGCGTGACTGACAGCTTCGCAATGTTCTATGGGTGCTCAGAGTTCTGTTCAAAAGATGGAGACGCCATTTTCGCTTGACCTCGTTTTTCACTTCTCCGTTCATGAAACAGTAAAGGATCGCTAAGAGAAAACCCTGCAATATAAATTTTTTTAAAAGACCAAGAAGAAATGCCTCATTAGGAAAGACTAACACTCCTATACCATTCAGATTCGAAAGCGTCTGTTTTAAAAATGTTGTTGAAACTAATATAATTACTCCAATGTAATGAAAGCAATTTTCCTACCTGAGCCTTCATTGTTTTATAATTCGATTTTGTGGTAATGTTTTTTTTTATAATGGTAAGGTTAAGTAAATAAAATTGTTATAAAACAGAAGATAAGAAAATGAAAGAAAATGCAATAAAAAATGTATCTGGACTGAGGACATATGAATGTGTCCTTGGTTGCCCGTAAATTTTCATTTTGATATCCATAAAAGCCTTTACCCCTCCCCCCCCCCCCCCCCCCCCCCCCCCAAGTCAGTATACAGTATGGGTGTATTTTAAAAGCAATGACCTCTAACCATTTCCAATCAATGTGTATCCAGGAGTTTACTTTTTCGGGAATTTCATCCCATTCATTTGTATTCAGCCCCCTCCAAGCGTCCCAACGTCAATTCATTGAAACTCATTAAAACAATTACTCTCAAAGGGATTCAATTAAAGGGCCGATTGAACAGGGGCGGCCTTCCGGCACCACCCGGTTTTGAGCCTTTCGTTTGCCCCTGTCGAAATGATCTAGTTACAGATGAAGAAATCGGACCGCAAATAAACGCTAGGAACTATTTTAAATCTATTTTATTCACTATAGAAAAGCTAAGCCAGAGGTCAGTGTCTCGTGGCTATTGAATTAAAACGCCAAATGAGAGCTTGCTAATCGAATTCACAAAATATACGGAGCATTTAAAAGCATTTATAGACTAATTTTAAAAATTGACTCCTTTCCTTATACGTACACTTCTACAGGTATTTCCAAAGTATGATGACAACCGTATTTATTCATTTTCGCCATTGTGCTTATTTTAGATAACTTTTGCAATCTTTTGATCATGTGTGACCTGTGAACAAAGTTTGAATAAAAGAGTCTGAATAAAAGTAATACCATTAATTATATTTATATCTTTATCAAAATGATTGCTTTAAATCCTATATGACATGTTTTCATAATCTTTTGTTTTGTATGTCATCATTGACCATGCCATTTCCCTCCGATTCTCTCCCGTTCTCACTCCCTCTCTACCTTTATATTTTGCCCCCCCCCCCCTGTTCAGGACTGCTCTCGTCAACATTGAGTTCGTAATAAGCACATTTTGTCATGCATACCCTACACAAGTTCCTGGGTTTGCGATTGCAATACATGTCAAAATCCTGATGTTTAATTGTATTTAGTAATGCCATCACGAAGACCTTAAAGATCTAGATGAGGCAATTTCAATGGTCTTTTGCATCACCTTCTGAAATATGCAAACATAACATTGACTTCAAACAGTATTACATAGTCCGACGTTGTTTAAAACAGGTAATACGTCAATGCAATGGCGCTGAACTTAAGTCTGTTAGATCATGTTCAGTATACTCATAACATAATTATGTACTTTGATATTTTTTAATTTTTTTTAAGGCATGGTATTTTACCGACAATGCTACCACTGTTGTAATATATTTTCAATTGCGCCATCTTTCGGTGAAGGCGTAGGTAGAGCGATTTTCGGCTCCCGTACCCAAGCATCATCACACGCATTACGTGCAGTTGAAGATGCATTGTGGGACATGGCTGTCAATACATCGGGGCATTGTGAGCCGCAGATGGCAGTATACGTAAATAAAGGAGAATAACGAGTGAAAGAAAACAACCGTTCCTCTGAAATGATTGTCTTTTTACGTACCTGGAATGGTGAAAGAATGAGTTCGAAGTACATTCTGATATAGACCATCGTGGTATCGTTCGAAAAATGCATCCCAACAGTGATGATGTAATACACTCCAAACAGCGGAATCAAAATCAGCGTCGACTTGGCCAATTTACTGGTAGTAAGAAAATAAATGGAAAAGAATTTCAAAATCTTGAAAGGAAATGCTTGCCTTGTAAGAAAAAAAAAGAAAATTCAGAGAAATCCATTCGTGAAAGTTTCAAACACGAAATCGGACAAAAACAAATTTACAATTTTTTTTTTTTTTTTTTTTTTTGTATTGAGATCCCTAACCAGTCACATAGAATTTTCATCTTAGCAAATGGGTAATATACATGTGAATGGGTGACAATATCGGTAAAATTTCCAACATAAACTTGCTTCAAAAAAATGTTAATATAATTACTAAACATTTCAAAGCCAAACAGGATAATAATAATAATAATAATAATAATAGCCTAATAGTCCACTCCAAATCAGGAACGTATGAGGTCACACTCACGCATGATATCATTTTTGAACAGCCAAGAGGAAAAAAGTTACTGAGAAATAATGAAATAACTCCATATTTTACCGTACAACCGATATGAGAGTTATCCCCCAATATGTGAAAAGCGAATGACCAATTTACAAATCTGAGACTAATAAAGATTCGGTGATCTTAGCATCCACATGGTTTGACCAATAAATTTCAAACTATCGTCATGCCGTCTCTCTAAGTTTTCTTCTTTCACTCATCTCAGCATTTAAGAAAGAGTTGAATAATAATAATAAGTGTGCATCAGACATGCAGGTAATATGGTTGTAAAATATCATCACGATAACAATAAACATGCTGATTATGCTTGTTTTCATACCGTTTTTGTCGTATAATTATTTTGGAAAAAAATTAAACGTACGATCAATAAGCATGTACAGGTCTAAGCGATTAGAAGAGGGAGAATAAATAAGACATGTATTTAAACATGAAAAGACACAAATTACCCAAACCAGACAAAGTAGGATACTGAAGACAAACTTGCCGATCATAATCAGAAAGGGGAAGGGAAAAGTGATGGCGGCGTTGATTCATGTTGATGATAGTGGGGGGGGGGGGGGGGTGGCACATGTACCGATCGGAAAGAAATACACTATACGGGAGGACACCCCCTCCCTCCCCCAAAAACTGTCCTCATGGACAAGCCATTCAGCCTCCCTTCCTTTTGCTTGCAAAAAATGAATAATCTGGCCTTACCCTGTATCATTGTTAAGCGTGACTTAATATTCAAAACAAAGATGATGGTATGACCTGGTTATTAAAACACTTTTATCATCATGCTTGGGGTGAAAACAATTATTAATGAAACGACCTTTTTGTTCCCCCTGTTACTGCAGATAGGAATCACCAAGGTGTCTAATATATGCTATTGGTAATGGGCCGTGGAAATTCGTTCAATTTGAAGAATCAAAATTGACCTTTAATCTAATCATGGAGCCTTGATGTGTTACTCAAGACAACCTGGAGAGCGAGTAGCTGTAAATGAGTCATGAAAAGGTTTAAAACTGTTGTGCCCGAGTCACGATGAAGTAATCGTGAGTAAACTGTAGATTGTTCTTTGCGAACAGCTTTAGTCATAGGTTTCGGTTTAATAAAATTTGGAGTGGACTATTAGGCTATTATTATTATTATTATATGTTATTTTCTACTTTTTTTACTTGTATTATATTCAAGGAGACCTTAGGATTTGGGGATACATTGATTATCTGAGAATTTAATTTTTAAGTTGTTATTTTCTTTAAACCATGCCTTCAAAAATCAGACAAATTCCAAAGTAGGACCATTTTAATAAAAAAACATCCCTTGTGATTAATTCAAAAGGGGGAATGTAAGGAGGAGTAGAGAGAGGGAGAGAGAGAGACACACAGAGAGAGACAGAGAGAGAGAGAGGGAGAGAAAATCCGATTATTTTTGTGTTGGCCTCCTCCCCATACAAAGATGGATCGACGGTTACCCCTACTTACAAACCTCTTTCAGTCACATCTTTTTATTTCGCGTTGAATCCTTCAAAAACAAGTTTTGAAAATCGGATTTACGACTGAAAACTCTCTCCGTACTGATGTACCTTCATCATGTTTATGCAAAGAGGTGGAAAATGCTATTTAAAAAGCTTTTTCTGATTCTTACGATGCAACATGCCACATTCTACTTCAGGGGTCTCAGGTATCAATATAATTTCGTTCTCTTCTGAATATCCGATTTCAACATTTAAAATATAACGCAGGATTAACCCTCATAACTACGCATACATTTTAAGTCAACAGTTACCATTTGCTTCATTCCATGTTTGTATTGAAATAAAGTCGGATTATAGACTAAGAAATGATGGAGAAATCGGAAAACATGGACAAGGTACTAAGAAACACCAAGCTTCCATTTACTCGAACATAGTATAGTCATGTATACCCCATGCTGCAGTCGGACATGCAAACATGATATTACCTTCACAATACCCCGAGCATAGGCATGACATGAAATATTGACCTCGAGAAAATTGAATTTGTTTACACTTTATCTACGAAATTAGAAGAGATTTTTAGTTTTGTTATTTGACATTTTTATTCTGAAATAATAAAGAAGAATTTGGGGGCTTTTTAATTGCTAGATGAAAAATATTTTAAAAGATCAATTCCGCCTTGCTTTAATTCCTTTGCATATGCAAATTAAACGCAATTTATACAAATTTATGTAAAAAATTGACCCCCTTGCAATTCAAGGTAGTGGACAAAAATGTTATATCAAATACATTTATATAGAATCCCCTCCCCTCATTTGCAGGAAGTTCAGACGAGTAACTTGGGATTTTTAGCCCTAATAGATATCTTTCAGCACACTATTTTTAACGTTTATGCAATCAAACTAGCTTTCGACATCTGAAAAAGACGTTACCGACTTGGAATCCTTTTTTATTTGGCCTTAAAGGGACTGTGTAACATTGTTCAGATGAGAGATAGTGGTGCTGAGGTAGTGACTTCAATGCTAGATGTACAATTAAAGATAATCTGAAAATTTGAGTGAAAACGGATCATTATTCATGGTACAAATTGGGAAAAACTGATCTGATCGATTCCTTAATTCTCCCAACTATATTATTCTACTTCTATTCTGCTACTTGTCAAAGCCTGTTCAGCATCAAGACAAGGACAATTTAATTACATTTTAGGTGAATGTAAATCGTCACAAAGTAATAAAATGGCTCTACATTCCATTCCAGACAATTAAGTGTTGACAGATTTTTATAGCCTGTTTTTATGTATTTTTCTCATGGAAAAACCGTTGGGAAAATTCAAAAATGGTTGGGAGAATTTACTGTTAATCACTGTTAGAGGGTGCCTCACATCGACGCCTTCAAAGAAAACCATAGATATCTTTGTGATTTCAGAATTTGTTGCATGTCAGAGGGTTAGTATAGTAGAAGGAATATAGTAAGTAACATTTTATACAAAAATTAAGCAATTTTTTTCATCAACCTTGAACACTGTTACCGAGTCACTTTAAAAATCTTTCAGGACATCATGTTTAACGTTTTTGTAATCAAACTAGCTTTCGACATCTGAAAATGACGTTACCGACTTGGGATCTTTTTTTATTTGGCCTTAAACATCTTTCAGGAAATCACTTTTAAATCGTATGCAATTACACTAGATTTCGACATCTGAACAAGACGTTCCTTAGGTACCGATGAATAATAAAGTGGATATTAGATTGATAGAGGGAAAAACCCTTGTTTTGACAACAACATCACTGCTACATTTCTCAACTGCAAATGTAGTAATACTCACTAGGTTTGCCCCAATGGCACTGCTATTTTAATGCATATCAGTGCTTGTTTCATGCAGGGGTTCAGGCAAGAATAATATAAGGAACTTTTAGATTCTGCACGACGAGAACGTGGACGGCCCTTGTAAGACAATGTGACGTCCTTTTAAGGCACTGGCAGTGACGTCACATTGCCCTAAAAGGGCAGTCCACGTTCTCGTCGTGCAGAATCTAAAAGTTCCTATTCGGAAAGGTTGACCAGCATGCCAACCAGATAAAAAGACGACTGTACGTGAATAATCATGACTAAATGGCTTTATTGTCTTTGGGGGGTAAGGAGAAACGCTGTCTCCTTTAGGGTGCAGGATTGATTCCTGCGAATCCGAATACTAAATGCCTCCGCGTCCCTGCATCGCTACGGAAGATGTATCGCGTACAAACGACATGATATGAAGAGACAGATATCACATCATAGTTTACGTATAACAAGATGCGTTTCATATGTAAAGTGCCTGTAGAGTGTGATTGAGTTTAAGAGGTGTATGATGCGAGTGAGTTTGCAGGCCATGCGAACAACAGAATGCTACCTGTACGTTCTTGCCTCAGCTGCGTTACTCGCTCTCAGCTTAGTGGCCAAGACACACAATATGTGGAGAAACAGGACGAAATTCACCTGCAATAGAAAGAAAACAAAAAGGGAAATTTTAGGTAACTTCAGAGAGGCATGGAACACAATTTCCCTTTATGCTACGGAAAGAAGGGATCATGGGTGTCGATCCTTACGTAATACCTATTGTTCAGGGGGGATGAATGAATAGATCATCCCCCCCCCCTGAACAATAGGTATCAATTACAGATCGACACCCATGGAAGGGATTAAAATCGAAGATGAGGAGGAATTTAACCTGTCGGAGAGAGGACAGCGTTCAAATAGCGCGGTTTAAGGTTAAATCAAAGAAGAGATTAACAAGAGTTAGTGAACGAAATGTTTCTGATAAGTTAAAATCCTAATGGTAATCCTGCTTTTATAGAGGTAAACCATAAGTAATACACGATAGAATCATACATGCGCGCACAACTAGAGCCAAATTTTGTTTACATTATTAACAAATGAAGAAGAGTAATGAAAGAAAAGAGATGTTGTACTAAATGAGAAGAACAGTCATCTTATAGCATCAGAGATATATGTAAAGTAAACATCATGTTGATAATGATAATGATAATAATAATAACTATAATAACAATAATAATAATGATGATAATAATAATAATAACAATAATTATAATAATAATATCAATAATGATAATAATAGAACAATTTGAAACCAATAATAATAATAAAAACAAGTTTAAAAGTATTCACACAATGATTATAATATAACTGCTATCAAATCTGAGTATCATTTTTCAACTTAAATTTTAAACTCTACACTCTCATACGTTATAATGTATCTCTTAGTCATTTTGGTTTAATTATACGATTTCTTTTTGCATGTAAGCAAGAAAATAAACAACAATGAATTAAAAAGATGGACTCGTGGACTAACTTTGCAATGTCTATATTTGATTGTTATTAAAGGTCGAAAAATGTTTAGTTCAAACCAAATGATACCGTGTTAACTGTTGACCTACATGTACAGTGCGTCCCAGAAAAAACGAAACCGAGAATTATCGATGTTTTATCATAACTTAATGACATTTATAATTGATAAATGACACATATTTGAAAAGCTTAGATCCTCCTCTTACATTTGATGCAACTCATTATGATGCATATTTCACGCATGAGTGATTAAAATCAATTTGAAGAGAGGAAACCAAAAAGTCGTTTGGCGGGCGGTAAGTGAATTTCAAAGAGAAAATCACATTTCTAGAAAGTTGAGTTTCTGCCCTTTCATATGATACTTCAATCAGGAAAAATGAATAAGGAATTACAAAGTTCTGTTTGTTTAAAGTAACCCTTACATTTTCATAATTTTAGCAAACAAATTCGTTTTCACTGGCTGCCTGCCGTAGCAAAAAGCAGAATTGACCAAAGACTTAACTCCGTTTCATTGACAATCAGCCATAGGCGTAGATCTGTAATTGATACCTATTGTTCAGGGGGATGATCTATTCATTCACCCCCCCCCCCCTGAACAATAGGTATTACGTAAGGATTAACGCCCATGCAATCAGCCATGCATGAAGTCTTTCGTCTACGGCTGATTGTCAACGAAACAGAGATAAGTCTTTTTTTAATATCGTTTGTTGATACGGCAGGCAGCCAGTGAAAACGAATTCGTTTAATCAAATTATGGAAATGCAAGCACTACTTTAAACAAACAGAACTTTGTTATTCCTAGCTCATTTTTCCAGATTGAGGTGTCATATGAAAGGGCAGAAACTCAACTTTCTAGAAATGTGATTTTCTGTTAAAAATTCAGATATCGTCCACCAAATGACTTTTTGTTTTTCTCTCTTCAAATTGATTTTAATCACTCATGCGTGAAATACGCATTAATATCAGTTAGATCAAATGAAGGAAGAGGATCTAAGCTTTCCAAATATGTGTCATTTATTTATTAATTATAATTGTGATTAAGTTATGATAAAACATCGATAATTCTCGGTTTCGTTTTATCTGGGACGCACTGTATAATAACGTACCGAAGAAAAACAACAACATATAACAAAATTTAAAAAAAATCTAAATTGCAGGGTAAATCCTGTAAAAGAATGAAATGTAATGTATATCACTCAGACAGGAGTAATCGTGTATACTCCAAATAAAGCTTACCTCTAGCTATTCCTTCCTCTAAAAACTCAAATAGAATAAAGGTGGGAAAAAAGCACACTATTTGTTTGCATCGTGCACTGAAAAAGGCAATATGATAAACAGAACAACTATATTTGTTTCAGAATACTATGAATAAAAAGACGATAACATGATCGTCACAAATCCTTGTCCACAAAATCGCCAAAGGCTTTAGGTGTGCTTTACATTTTCTCAACATTTGCCGCGAGATGTTGACAAAATATAATGTTACAGTAGTCATGTTAAACAGTGTAAACATTGCAACTGTCATAACTTCGCTATATGTTATGTGTTTTAAGCGAGGAAATCAACGTGTTTACTCTTTTGTAATATAAAGTTATTAGTAAAATTCCGAGAATAAAAGATTTCTGGCTCTAAAATACTGAAATATCAAAGGCCCCCGGATGTTTATATGAGATCGTTATTGATTATTGTTGCGCCTTGCTCTGGATTCATATAAAGAAGGAACAATATGTCACTTGGTCTCCGGAGATAGAAATATGAGGCCATGACATTATCATATTACTACCTATGCAGGACGTTATACAAAGGATGAAAAGTTCAATGAAAAAGAGAACGTATTTCTGTTTGTAAACATCCAAACGTAAATGTTTAACGTAGTTTTGGACCGAAGTTTCCACAAGTCGGATTCATAAATCAGGATACGGGACAAGAAAAGCATATGATAGCCCCCTCTCCCTTTCCTACACCCTATCCCTAACCAGTGACCTTGACGATTTACATTTCATTCACATTGGTGTCGTGGACAAGTAGATACATCGTCGGACTGTCGACCTCAATGTCCGCGGCTCGAATCCAGCCGCGGCAACAATGTCCTTTATCAAGACATTGCTCTACATTCGCCACACTCCACCTAGGTGAAGTAGGTGAAGGAACCGGTAGGAAGGAATTCCTTGAATGCTGTGAGCACCGAAATCGGTAGCCTAGCAGAGCCGGGGTAATATTGAAGCGCTTTGAGCACCTTGCAGGGTGGATATGTTCGCTATATAAATATCCAATATTATTATTATTGTAAGACTCCCCCCCCCCCTTTTTTTTTTAAACCAGTGTACGTGACAATTTGAAAAAAACTTTTGTAAGGTGATGGGAATAAATATTATTATTGTTCAAAATACCTTTGAGCCCCTATATACTAAACCATCAGCAGTGGTTATTTTTACATTACAAGACAAAGAAAAACGCTCTAATTACTTAATATATAACCATGCCAAAAGGTTAAACAGTATGTTTCAGATTCGATAGCACAAGTTTTAGGGTACACATCTAAAATATATGATAAAATCTAATAACATTAGAAGTTGTACCCTATGGGGTTCAATATTACACCTTAAAGAGTACGGTAACTTTGTCTTAGATCCTTTAAAGAAATCCTTGATTTAGCTCATGCTGCAATGATAATTATAAACCTTTAGGTCAGTCAGGAACCCCATGACTTTTACAAGCCGATCGCCTGTCTGATTATCAAGATATTTATTATTGAAAATCAAAATCAAATTTAGCATTTACCAAACGGTTTTCATAAAACTACAGTCTTTTGGGGAAAACGAGTATGGTAAAACCGGTCACTCAAAGGTTTTTATTTTTTGAGGCACTTCTTGATCATCTTGAAGCGCGATTTTTAGGGCTTCAATATAACATCATTTCACAAACACTGATAACACGTAGGGCCGTGCATCTCAGATTTAACATTGTTAAACCATCCCTGAGGGACATATGTCGTGGTTCAAAGCTAAATTGCTTTTGTATTAGATAATGTACTTACGATAACAGATATCATGACGGGTGCCTTGATTATCCAGTAACTTGAATCTCGCGTGACATCGTTCCACCAACACCTACATAGATAAAATGATATGAATGTTATCAACTTAGACTAGAACTTAATAAAAAGAACATAGGGGAAAAAGCATGATGTGTTCGGGTTCGTATCTGTCAAGGCAATTTACCAATGGATGAAGTATGTGATGGAATAAAATTACTTATATGATTTGAGAAATTGTAGACACATGATTGCCCGTAAATCAATGTGCCGTTAATGTTCGCTGTGTAGTAAGGTCAATGTCCATCTCCATTTGGTTTTCAAGGTATAGGCATTAATTTGAATCTAGGATAATAATTCATTAGTAGTAGAAGTAGTATAAGCACTAGTAGTAGTAGTAGTAGTAGTAGTAGTAGTAGAAGTAGTAGTAGTAATAATAGTAGTAGTAGTAAACCTAGTTGTAGTAGTAGTAGTAGTAGTAGTAGTAGTAGAAGTAGTAGTAGTAGTAGTAGTAGTACAGTAGCAGTAGCAGTAGTAGTAGAAGTAGTGGTAGTAATAGTAAACCTAGTTGTAGTAGTAGTAGAAGTAGTAGTAGTAGTAGTAGAAGTAGTAGTAGTAGTAGTAGTAGTAGAAGTAGTAGTAGTAGTAGTAGTAGTAGTAGTGTAGTAGCAGTAGCAGTAGTAGTAACAATAAATGTAGTCTTGGGGGAGGGGGTTGCTGGGGGTTGCTGCTGTTAATAGTGGTAGTTGTGTTTCTATCTTGTCATAAAAGACGATAAGGTGAAGAAGAAAAAAAAGGACCGTCATCCGCAGGCTTAAAGTAGACAAAGAAAAGGTATGGCAAACCGGTTCTCAAAATCCTATATATATATATAACACCTCTCTATTTCGGTCAAAATGTATGCATTTATGTGCAAGAAAGGCATATTGTTTAATAGCATTGGTTCATGTTACTTGCTGGATAAGTGGACATAACGGTGATTGATTGTAAAGGTAATAGCTTCAGAGAAGACAAGTGAAATCGTGTATCCTGTTTATCAAAGCTTCTCATAACCTTGGTTAGCCGAGGAACTTGGAAAGTATCGCTTGCTCTACGTTTGGAAAGATTGGAGACGCAGGCGTATTTCGTTGGCTATGTATGTGGGTTGGTGTGGGTGCGTGTTCGGATACGTGTGAGTGTATGCGTGTGTGTATGTGTGTATGTTAGTTATTCTGTGTATTTTTCTTTGATTTTGTTGTTGTTGTTGTGGTTGTTGGTATTACGTTGTTGTTTTTTTCAGCTATAGGACTAATGATGGAGAAAACACTGTGTCGAAATCAGGCACTCACATACACCAACATTTGAAAACAGTGTCAACAGTTAATGTGAGAGCACTGTATGGTATGTGGTAAAGTGTAAAGTACTCTGTCGACAACAAACGCCAAAATTTGTACAAACCAAAATTAGACCACAAAGGAGATTGGACATATTTCATATTGAAGAGAATGTATAAAACATTGTATTCATATAGTATTCAAACTGTAGAATACGATTCGAAACAATATGGCCACAGAGAGGGCAACAGGCATGAACAATCAAGGAGCTCCCTGAACCTCCTACGTACAATGTTTAAAGTCTAATCAGCGTTTGTCACAATGCGTGATACAGTGTTAGAAAATGTTGCCAAAGAGAGAGATGAAACAAATGTTAACGCCTTTTTTTTTTCTTCCTTCTTCACGGTATGACAACCGAAACACTTTGGAACATTGTCGATCAACGACAATTTCTGAACACTCTTGCTCACGAAAATTTAAACAATGTGGAATACTACGTTATTGACTTAACTATAAAAGAACCATGCTTGCGTATTTATCGGATCTCGCGTCAGATTTCAAACCCTTCATAAAAACCCTCCCCATAATTCCATGCCCACACTAACATCCTGAGCGTCTCAAACAACATGAAACTATATACGTGTCCTTAGCTTTAAAAAAAAAACTTAGTGCAAAAAACAGTGTGTGAAAACATATGGAAGAGCGTGAACAGCGTAACATGCGTTAGCACTTTGTAAATATGGACTAAATCCTCACTGTGACCACATGTGCCACAATATATATACTAACTTACCACAGTGCTTCATACATTGTAACAAAATGTATTAGAGTCGAATGCATTTTCCAAACTTGTTAAACAACGGGAAAGCTTATGTGACAATGCACTGTGCTCTCTGTGTGCAGCTTTCCATGTATATAGGGTTTCTTCTTTGTGGCCAGATTAAGCAATATCGTTATTCGGTTTAATCAGATATATCAGCTGCCTATTTTTAGATTTTAATGAAGAATGTTTATCTGAATATGTAGCGAGCTTGATAAACGATATATGTGTTTCCTCTCACTTTTATTTCTTCAGTATTACCCAAAAAGGGATTTTCTTGGGTGCTTTGTCAAAAATAATTGTTTTCATGGAATTGTTCTGAGCCTCGTTCTCACCATGCGTTATCATGGCAGACTCGTACTGCCCCGCAAAATGCAATGTATCACTAAAATGCTTGGGTACAATAATGAGAGTCAGTGGCGTAATTACAAGGGACGCAGAGAGAAGGGGCGGAGGGGGGGGGGGGGCATGAAATAGATTCCCTCCCAGACGCTCCCCTTTTCGGTGGCCTTGTTAACTCACATTACGTCCTCCAAGTTAGATCGATGCCCCTTCCCCCACCCTCTATAATTCCAGCGCCTCATTTACTGTACCCTCGCTACACCATGGGGAATGCACAGGGAAGCCTCATTTGATGTCAACTACGGAATCGAGGGAATTCTCTGTTTAAGATAACATAATTGATGACGGTGTTTCGTTACGCTTATTGCTTCCCTCCTAATCCCAAGAAATACCACGCCCGTCGAGGTTGAAATGCATGTTTTCTTCGATTTTATTAGTAAAGGCAAGACATCGAGTAAGGGTGGTCTGAGGACACGGGTTCGGGTAGCAAGTCTCTCCATCAGCCGAAGGATCCAATGCAGTTCATTCACAGACATTGCTAATTCTCAAGTGATATGCGGTACATAATAAAGCAGAATCCGGTTGGGGGCAGTGTTACCGATCGTCAAACACTATATGTGATGAGTGGATTATCCTTTAAAGGGTGTATTCACTGTGATACCCTTCACCAAAGAAATGAAGTCATTGGTGGTCACAGAGAAGAAATGTGACCTTCTCTGTAACGAGGGTCGAGTTGTGTAAAGTCGATTTTCGTAACGATCGGACGAGTCTTAAACATCAGGTCATTGATTGTGATAGTACATGTTCGTTGATAGTTACTTTCAAACTATAATATTATACGCTAAAAGAAATGCATGGGCTCCATGGTGTTTCTTATTTTCTTACTTTGATTCGCTTTAATCGATTTCTATTCGTCAGGTTCATTTGCTACCTGGAATATACCTTTAAGTATTTGTCGTTAAAACCCCTCTAACGTGTTGAGAGCCCCACACATTTGATGGCAAAATTAACTTAAATTGTATCAAAATATTTGTTTAAAGAATGGCATTTAAGACACATTTCTGCAAGGATTTACAAAACAAATGTGTTTATAGTCGAATAATACGAATTTCAGGTTTTCTGCGTACGACAGAAAATTCAAATTATCTATTACGTGATCAATATTTGTCTTTTTTTTGGGGGGGGATCTTTGCAGACGTGTGTATTCAATGACACCCCTTCCACATTATGATACAATTCAAGTGAAGTGTTGCCATAATTTTTTTTTTCTTTTTTTCCAACACTTATGAGGGGCTTTAAAGATAAAGTTGAGTTCTGGTCATGCGATTGCATTGTGAAAGAAACGGTGTGGAATCGATCAGAAAAAGTTGATCATCTAGCTTATAAGTATTGGTGTGTACTGCAAGGTTCTGGAATCATCAAAATGATAAGACATTTGGCCTTGTATTGGTAAATTTACAAGCACTGTACCGAAAAGATGTATACGGGACTACACGAACATGTGGCATAAAACTCCGTCCCGATTTGTATGATGTTACATGCCATATTTAGAATATTAAGGCATTTGAAGAGCCACGCTTTACAGGGAACATTTTCTGATGTTCTTCCACACTTGCATAATAACAATGATAACGCTCCCAAATTATGTTTCACCTCTTCCCAGAACTCAACCTTCTCTTTAAAGCTGGTAATACGCTTATTCATTATCATTAACGTCCGCGAAAGAATATATTTGCAATGTCCTTAAAATGCTTCTAGGAAGATTATGTTGCACTTTGCGTTATGAATGATGGATCAATATTTTTCTGGAGCAAGTATGCATTAGAATAAGCAACATTTCCATAGAAATGTTCATAACTAATGTTAGCACAACCAAGAGAAAAATTGTTCTTGAAAATAGCAGCACGCTGATCCGATTATGAGACTTATTCTACATGCACAGACTCTAATTTGAAATATAGACATGTTTTACATAAAATCTTGAACATAGCCTAACTCCATCAGTCCCTGTCCGTGACAGATGGTCAGGATCATCTACAGTGCAGGGCCTATGGACTTTGGTCTCTATCTAGTCTCCTAGCTCAGACACTCGGATAATCATTACAACTGCCAATGGTTTGTGCCAGAAAACTACATGTCACATGAGGCTCGCGGTGCGTAGGCATTGTTTGAGCAACATGGCGCCAAAAAGGATAAACTTACCCCGATGACTCTTTGAACGATCGCACTATTGCCCATGGGACCACCACAAATGCAGGGCAACCTGAAAAAAAAAACGTCAGAAATAGAGTCACCAAATTAATCAATGTTATGAAAAGAGATACAAGAAATGCAGTTTATCAAACTACTTATAGAATGTTTTAGAAGGTTATCACATGAGCAGCTTTTCCATCATTGTTGTTTTTGCTCGTTTGGTGTTGTGTTTTTACTGCTTGCCAAAAGCATTAGAACGCTTCAAGGTTGCAAGGTCATGAAGTTAGCGGGTTATTGATGATGAGTATTCAATATGGAAAAAAAGGGTTAAAATGCCTGTTGCACACGAGGCGTTAAGCCGCGTCATTTACCTGACGAAAGACTACGTCAAATTCCGCTCCAGTCGTATGAGGGAAACATCGCACAAAATGATAGTGATTGAAAAGTACAAGAATTGCGTTGATAGTGAGTATTAAAAATGAAAAGGGGTAAGAATGCCCGTTGCACACGAGGCGTCAAGCCGCGTTATTTACCTGACGCAAGACTGCGTCAAATACCGCTCAAGTCGTCAGAGGGTAACATCGCACAAAATGATTGTGTCTGAAAAGTACAGGAATTGCATCGAGTATGATAATTGCATATGGAAAAGGGTTTAAATGCCCGTTGCACATCATTTACCTGACGCAAGATTGCGTCGAATACCGCTCCAGTCGTATGAGGGTAACATCGCACAAAATGATGGCGATTGAACTGTACAAAAATTGCGTCGAATTATTGGCGTACAGAATTGACAAGCGCAGGATAAGACGCGATCAAAAAGACGCAACAAGAAACCCAATCTTCCGACATTACAAACATTTAAGAGAACGCCTGCTTGGCTGAAAGGGATCCGGTAATTTTGTCTTAGATCCTCGCCTGTCTGATTATCAAGATATTTATGATTGAAAATCGAAATCAAATTTTGCGTTTGCCAAACGGTTTTCATAACACTACAGTCTATTGGGGAAAATGAGTATGGTAAAACCGGTCACTCAATGTTTTTACTTTGTTGAGGTACTTCTTGATCAATTTGAAGCGCAATTTTTGTAGGGCTTCAATATAACACCATATCAAAGACACCGATAAAACGTAGGGCCGTGCATCTCAGATTTAACATTGTTAAACGATTCCTTTAAGGCCTACTATGAACCTGTAAGAGACAAAAAAATGTGACCAGGATGGTGGTAGACATTTTGTAGAAGAACGAGCATTCTAAAATCCGCCTCACCTAAATAGTTCACTCACCATCCGCTCTGAATACTGATGATGATGGATGCGATGTTAAAAATAGTGGGATGAACTAGAATTAGCATGCCCCCAACTCAACATAGTGATGCGGCTACGCGAACGACGCAGCCTACTTAATCAATGTGTCTACATACATGTTGAATTTTTGAACCATTTGAACTATTTATTTTGAACCATACGCTGCCGACATCGTAATAATGTTCGAAAACCAATGATTCTGTCAAGTTGATAGCCCTCTTTGTCTGATTAGCCCGAGCTAATCAGACCAAAAAGGGAAACTAATGTGTCAAGTGTCGATTTCTATTTATTAATGGTTATTCTTGGAATCTTGGTATTAAACAGAATCAAATTGAATTCAATATTAAGTGAACCTTCGTCCAAAAACCTAAATACTCTATTTAATTAGGTTTTAAAGTTTCATTTAACCAACTGCTTTAAAAAATGTCTTCTCTATTAAGAGTTGTTTGCCTATTATTACGTTGATTATGTTCCTATGTCTGTACCACAGCTCCAGATCGCTTTCTGAGACTCGCGGCGGCGTACATGAAGATAACAAAAGGGTAATAAAAGAACTTGCGATGCCTTTACCCGGTGCCTTCTCTATCCTGATGGATAAAATTCCACTTTCAGCATAGTCCGTTGTAGGCATTCAATAAGAGATTGTAGCATCATATTCGAAATAAGACAATTTTAAGGGCTTTCTTATAAATTCAAAATGGAAGATATTGGATGCTGTCGATAAACCTATCCTCGGGCAATGCAACGTCAGTCAGGATTTACAAGCGATTTAGAATTCCTGATTTTCATTTTGGAATTGAATTTCTCTGCATTCCCGTAAAAACTCTGTTATTCTGCAGCCCTTTTTCTTCACTCATCCTCATTATTAATGGATAAGTATTTTTACATTGCACGGACATGGTTTGCGACGCTAGGAGTTGAACGCCAAGAGGTCTTTATCGCACAATGCGATGGTTACAGATCCCTTCCCGGGCGATGTTTATCGTTTTTTAGCCACCGCAGTGGCGCCCCTGGTTTTGGGAAGACGTACGGTGTACTGAAAGCGATGACTTATAAAGGAAATTCCCATGATACTCTCGCAGGAGGAGATTGATGAGAAAATAAGGAGGAGAAAGGGGACAATACAGATTAATGAGCGCGTCTCCTCCTAGTTAATGTATAAGAACTGGCAGGATGCGATAGCAAAGGGAAACGCCGTTAAATCAAGAACAGTAAATAATGTAGATCGTCATGGGAAGGAAGAGAATGAGGACATTTTAAAACGTAATGGCGAACTTTAAAGGTACTATGTGCCATTTGTAACCAACATAAAATTATGTAGAACTTTTCAGGAATTGTTAATATGTCACGTATGTCCTATCTGTTAAAATTTTTACGTTAGCAGTGTCCTATTATTCAAATTATGCAAGGAAACCCGTATACTTTCTAGACTTCACTGTCAGACACTATTGAGTGACGTACTGACTTCTTTTGTTTTCTTTGGTAATAACATACATAAAATGAGCTGTAAAGGTACATGATCATGTGTCTTCATCAATAACCCACTTCTTGTAATGGCCCCCAAAAAAACTGATTGAATCTTTGCGCAGCACAAGACGCCTTACGCCTTAGGGTCTGAAAATCAGACTATTACTTATTTGATTGCAATCACCGAAGTCGATCTAACAACTAATGCTGGTTATTTTCTCACTAAAATACATTTTCAAGCCCTTTCGTTTTGTGGGAAGTTCTAAATTAGTAGTATCTTTCAAATGCCATTGAAATTTAACCTTTTTCATTTATTTGGCTACCAAATGGAACATAGTACCTTTAAACGACATCGACATGAGTTTAAAAAATCAAATCAACTAGACATCCGGTGCAATCGTCATTCTGAAGTCGGTGACATAAATCTATCGAAAGGATTTGAAGTTTTTAAATGACAAAGTCCTAAGTCCTGTCTCTTTAACCCCCACCCCCCCCCCCCTCTCTCTCTTTCGCCTTCATCTTTCTCTCCCTTTCTCTCTCTCTCTCTCTCTCTCTCTCTCTCTCTCTTTCTCTCTTTCTCTATATATCTATATCTATCTCTCTCTCTCTCTCTCTCTCCCTCACTGTTTGCCACTGTCCTATTCTCTCATTTTCTCTCACATCTCTATTTATTTATCTTTCCTTCTTTCTCCCAATCCCTACCCCTGCCTTTATATTTGTCTACCTCGGACTCCCAATCTCCCTGCATCTCTCTCTCTCTCTCTCTCTCTCTCTCTCTTCATCTATTTTTCTTCCCGTCTCTCCTCCCTTTTCCTTTTCTCCCACCTGTCTCTCTCTGTCTATGCATCTATTTTGTTTCTTTGTATTTTCCTATCAATGTTTCTATCTATATGTCAATATATCTTAGATCTATTTTCAAGTTCCTCTGTCATGTGTTTTTACTCATTCCCTTCCTGTCTCCGTCTCTCTAAGTCTGCATCTCTCTTCTACGTCTCCTGGGCTTCTTAAATATTGACATTCATGTATCTATAACACTCACATGGCCGACTTAAACCATGTCTCGCAGAACATTTTCTAAGACTAAGTCCCATGAGCAAATAAAATGAATGATTTCGGAATGAAGTACTCAAAATCGCATCACAAATATAACTAATCCCATGCAGACAATGTACTGATAAAAAACATGCAGACATAATGTCTGACGAATAGTCATTGTCAATGCCCCGTACATACATGCAAGACTCTTAATTTACCAAACTCTCTTACGAAGCTACGTTTTCATTTCACTCCCGGTTCGGAAAAACAGTGAATAAATACGTCTGAATATGTGACATTGCGTCATAACAAGGCTTTCCCATGGCACATCTCCAATCGCATTGCATTAACATGACGCATTGTGAAGAAGGTAAAGATTTATAATGTTGCTTGAATTGAAAATTCTTTACTAACAAAAATATATCAACCATGAGGCATAGCAAGACAAATGCTAACCCTCAATCAAAATGACAATGAAGGCTCTATACGGAGCATTTTTACTGTGAGTTAACGAATAAAACGATCAATCAATAACAAAATTGAAGACATTTTATTTTTATTTGCAAAATATGGTAATCAATTGTGATTCAAAAGTCGAATCATGTATAATTCCATTATAATAGCACATCGTTGAGCTATTACAGATAGGTTTTAGCAGTCTTTTAGCGTAGGTATGAAATAAGAAGTCAACTCATATGGTCGGCACTCAATGCCATAAACTTCCATGCATTTGACATCGATGATTTTTGGCATTACATGTTTGCCATAAAACTCACCCCATCCAAGCGCGATGTATCTGTAGATAGACTTCTCTGAAAATACTGCCAGTGTGATTAATGAGTGGAGATAAACGCCCTCTACCAGCAGCCAGTAAAAATTTGCCACCAGAAAGTACTGGATCAGGGTAAAGGCTACCTTGCATCCCGGATTCTAGAAATTGAAGGGGGAAAATCGTTCAGGGTTAGTCTTGTTCGTATGCATGATGGAACAGCTAGAAATGTACAGGAAAGTGTTGGACTGTTGTCATTCTTTCGACAACTAGAGTTCTGAAAAGAACTGTTATGGGAAGGAAGAATGCCAACGTTTTGGCAATGTAATGAAAGGAGGATAGATTTACAGTAAATGAAACCTTTTGGAGTTGAGTATTAACGGAAAACTTTATGACCTTTTGGGTAAATCAATGTGAAGCCTTTAAGGCGATCGCAGATACCGTATATCGAGAAATCGACATGCGGGCAATTTCATTAGCCTTTTCCGTCACATGTTAATATTTTTTAACATTAAAGATAAAGTTGAGTTCTGGTCAGGCGATTGCATTGTGAAAGAAACGGTGTGGGATCGATCAGAAAAGGTTGATCATCTAGCATATAAGTATTGGTGTGTACTGCTAGGTTCTGGAATCATCAAAATGATGAGAAATTTGGCCCAGTCTTGGTAAAGTTACAAGCGCTGTACACAAAAAGATGTATATGGGACTAGACGAACATGTGGCATAAAAATCCGTCCCGATGTTTTACATGCCATATTTAGAATATTAAGGCATTTGAAGAGCCATGCTTTTCATGGAATATTTTTTTAACTGATGTTCTTCCACACTTGCATAATACAATGATAACGCTCACAATTTATTTTTCACCTCTTTCCAGAACTCAACCTTCTCTTTAATTATGATCTATTGCGTAATCCGAACGTGATTTATGTTGGGTTAACAATAGGGTATTGAAATTGGCCTTGTGTTGGTTCTTCAAGAGTCTTAGCAATCGTGTTCCAAAAAAAGACAAATCACCGTTCGTCAGGAATAGATTACAATAGATGGCTAGTCAATATATATGATAAACCATCCCCTTTGGCGGCTTTAGCTAAGTATTCTATAAACATATATTTGCTTTTAATAATTATTGAGCCTAAAGTTAAGTTTCTGTATACAATTTATCTTCTTTTTATCAGGGAAAGGGCAATCAGCAGAGAATCGAGTTTCAAAGTATTCCATTCGATTAAAGTAACGTATATTTTCTTCCATTACTTATTTTTGTAATGACAAAATGTCAAAGTAATAAATTCATGCGCTAAGACATTAGTAATTTGAAGAGCATATAAACACAATGAAGGCGTAAGTTCCCATTAGGCCGGGTCTGCATGTATAAAACAAGACAATGTAATTACAAACGTTTAAGAGATTCGGATTAGACGAAGGAAGTGAAAGAAGGGGAATGAAAGGGGAAAAGAATTTATAGTAAAGAGGTTATAAATGAACTGCAACAATAAAGATCATAGCGTGAAATGGCAAGATTTGAGCGAAGAGCACAAAGTACAGTCAAACCTGCTTTTATAGTGACCACCTGTCTACAACGACCACCTCTTTGGTTTCCCTTGAAAATGGTTTCTCATTGAAACATGTACTAAAGAAACCTGTCAACAAAGACCAATTTTCGTGTTTCCTTTGGGCGGTCGCTATAGACAGGTTTTATGTATTATGATAGACTACTACTTGAATCTCACCCCTCTATCTACAGGTAACGAGTCGTTCCCGGAATCGGCTCGGAGCTCGGCCTGGAGTTCGGATTTGAGCAAGCCGGCTTCGTTCTGGGCCTGAATGATGTCCCGGATGAAGACAAAGATGGCACGGAGAATGAACGACATGAAGAGATGCATGTGGATCATGTTACGTGTACACCTTAGCTTCCTGAAAGAAAGACAAAAAGAAGGAAGTAAGTATACTGTAATGTCCGTCGCACGCGTCTAAGAAACATGAAGGAGAAAAGTCTTCCATCGGTCGTAGACAAGTTGTGGAACTGGTTTCCTGCTATTGTACATATTCAAGAACATTCGGAAGTCCCATTTATTTTGTTAGCAAACACTGGATTGTATCGCAGACGTAGCCCAAATGCAATGGGATAAAAGCGTTTTATCAAATACCTTTGGAATCGGCTTGAATGCGTCCTTTTAATGGCGTTCTTAGTTCGCTAATCAAACCTGTCAAGTTAAATTGTCCACTCGTCAGTATTTCAAGGAAATGATTTGCACTGTTCATTTTGCATTAACGGTTTGTACGATATCCATCTCACTTGGTGCGTCAAAGATCGCACCAGTCACTGACGCATTACTGCGTCAGACAAATGAATCTTAGCCTGGAACGGGCTTAATAATGCTCAAGTAGCAATGGTACGTATCCAGAAATTGATAACATACAGTGGTAGAGAATCCTTCCCTGGGGGTGTTTCACAAAGATCCCAAGTCGAACTTAACTTTAAGTTGGACTTAAAGATTATTTTAAAAGCGAAAATTCAAGAATTTTTGATTTTTTAATAATTCCACATCAAGAACATGAAACCCCTGTTGGTAAAAGAAAATATTAAAGAGTTGAATCAACATTTTATGCCTTTTAAAATAACTTTGCAAAATATTCTCATAGATGCCAACGGCTTTCCATAGCTGTTAAGTCCAACTTAGAGATAAGTTCATCATAGGATCTTTGTGAAACACCCCCCAGATTGAGGTGGGGGTTGATCGTATCTGTCCAGCCCAAGCTGCTATAAAGCTATAGTGACTTCTGTTTTAAAGGCCCACTGCACTACTTGTAGCGACTTGCTCCCTCTTTATAACAAACAATGCCTAATCGGTGACCATTGGTCCCCCATGATCCTCTTTTTCTTATGTTAACTCAGAGCTGAGTTAATGAGATAACCACCTATCCAGTGACCTCGCAGGGCGGTCTAATCCCTCCTGTAAACTATGGTAGATAAGCTTTAACCTTCAAACAGGAGGGGAGGTCTTCCACAGAGTGACGCCATGCTGACTACGCCTGTAGTCTGAGTGCAATTAGCGGAATTAATGGAACTTATCGTCAAATGGGTTATTAGTAGATTACCGTCAAAGTATCACAGTTTAGTTTTCATAAGTTTCGTCTGTATTGTTCTTGCTTTTAGCGATGGAAATTCGTGATGGATACATGAATACATGAATACATGAATAGACCAAAATAAAGTCATGTAATGTGTATCTGTTAGAAATGACAAATTGTATATATAATACCGTATTATGTGTTTACGTACAGTGAATCATGGTATATACTTCCAGTACCATGATGTAAATATAAATTATTCGCGAATTTAAGGCAATTTAGCTCCAGGCAAAGCTGTAACAAAACTCGAACGGTAAGTTCGACAAGCAATTTTTTATTTTTTTTTGTTTTTTCAGATTACATTTCAGACGTCATGTAAAACCTTTAAAATGATATGATCGGATTTGTCATCAACACCCATTATGACGTCAGCAAGGCTTTCTGCAATAATGAATCAAAACATTGTCCCGTACCGTTATGCAAAGAGTTGCTTAGTATCGAGTGAGGTGAACATATCCGTAAACAAAGACATGTTTTAGAGATTGACTAATGGTCTACATGGGCTATGCCATTCCAATTACTCGAACGAAAAGGCCTAAAATAAGGGTTAGCGTTTTTCTCGTCATGACCGGGAACACGACATACATCAGTGCCACCGAGTGAGCAAGATTTCTGTGAAAGCATCAGCATGATCAAGGCGCCCTTTCCATTTAACAAAATGTTTTGTAGCTGACAGTAGAGAAATAATGGATGCATTCTAGCAATGTTTCTGCTTAAATTACACCTAGTGTTTTTGGAAGAGAGTGCGGCCATGGAGCGTGACATTTGCATCTTATACATGTTATAGTTTTTTAAACTTCACCAACAGCGGCTTTATGCACAACGGTAAATCCTACCCTACGCTATTATTAATTACGTTAAACTTTTAACGCAAGATATTCTGGGGGAACCTTATTACCGTTCCTAAAGGGCAGTTGGATTGTATTCATAAAACACACACACTTTAGTGTAGGTTCAAGCGGTTAGATCGTGTCCACTGACCTATGACATGTTCAAAACTCAAAACGCTTATTGTGAAACTCTTCATTCCGTTAAAAAATTATCATATTTCTATCAATAAATCAGCAGGTAAAAATAATATCATTTCGGTAACAAATTAATGGCGGGATTTGTTTCGTTTATTTGATCTGTGACAGGGGCACATAATTTGGTACAAAATAAAACAAACAATTTTTTTAAATAAAAAAACAAGGTTTAGTAAATCCCCGTGTTTCGACTCGACTCATTGATGTGAAAAAGAATGGTAGCCAAACAAGCCTCATTTTTTTTAGCATGGACATATTAAATATCTCATGATAGTTATAATGAAAGTTTAGCACAGTCTTTCACACCACCAAACCGACTCGAGACCAACCCCAAACCGACAAACTCTTCACCATGTGGGGTAATTCAATGTTATGTTTGGTCTCCTTTCGGTCTGGAATCGGTCTCCTATTAAGCGTGACTGAGGTATACAAGCTCCTTGTACCAATACATGCTTTCTTCTTCTTCTTATACAACCTATGGAATATTGTCCGTCTTTTAGAAGTGACACATCACCTCTCTGCTGTCGTCCGGTCGCCCTGTATCAACAGGCTAGAGATCTAAAGTGTTGCTGTAGGCGTACCCAATTCATCGACCTTTCAATCTTCTTCCTATAACCGTGCCGATGCTCTTGAACTTTATGCATCATGGCTGTATGTAACTTCTCCCCTCGCCTCAATTCCAATCAATTCATATTATTTTTAGCTGACCACTTAAAAACCTATTGGCGAAATGTGGGTTGTATGCAGGGGGGATTGGAGGGGCGGGACTAGATATTTGAAAAATGCGCAAAAGTCTACCATTTGCCTCTGTAGCCTTCTATCTGTAGCGATTTCCCCCGCTCAAAAAATAGATAGCAAGACGTATCTAATCTGACGAAAGAGTTGTTTCGTGTAGCAATACGCAATGTTGAGGTGTTAACGAACTTTATATTCTATGTTCTGAATCTGTGTTCCTTTTTTAACGTAACCCCCGTCATATACCTTTACCTATTTTTCATTCCTAACAATAGGGTGTCTTACTTTGTTAAGTTCAAGACACTTGAATCCAAATATCAAGACGTTTAACCACACCATTTAATTCACTGTTGTGTAGTATGCCCTCCCCACACACGCATGCACACGCACACACGCACACACACATCCACACTCACACCCGTCCTATAAGGAACGGGGAGGGACGAGAGAAAAAAGCCTAGCGGGAAAATATATATGAAATGTTAAAACGTTTCTAGCTGCCTTTTATCCAAAAGGTGAACAAAATAACACTTTCTTCCTCAATAGCCTTCTGACATTACGTCCATTTCTATTTGTATGCATCGCACGACCTACAATTTGCAACATTCATCATTCTCAGGTATGCTTCGGTCGTATTCTTACCTGACCACTTTTACCATATTCACCGCAACTGACAAGTCTCGTGTGCTGTTATCGAAGGCCCTGGTCTTTGATTTGCTGAATTTATTCATAGGATTTAATGTATCTGGGGTATCGGAGCCGGATTGTAAACGAGCTCATTAAAATTTAATTTTCCACGAATATGTTCCATGTAGCTTTCTGTTAAGATTTTACCAACATGTCACAAACCAAACTTATGTATTATCCATAGGCTAGTTGCCCTTCTTCTAAATTATGCTTTCATTATCTTAACAATGAAAGGTCTGTTTAAAGCATTGGACAAGTGAATTGGATATTTTGTTTAACAAAACAATTTGTAATGCCTGCTTTCCAAAGCTTATTTACTTTGTGTAATGTTCTTGCTTTTAGAGCTACTGAAAATGAGTATATTACTGCAAACGAAAGAAGGAAAACAAAGATAAATCAATTTGATGAAACACAAATGTTACCTTGTCCTATCACCATTCGTGTGACGAAACTTTCGTCGTTGAGTGCGCGGTTTTGTAAAAGCGAGCAATGCCCTCTAACATAGAACATAAATGATTACGAGCGAAAATCTTACTTCTGATGAAAGTTATATCACTGCTTGTTTGCTGCGGGGAGTTGAGAGCTGTCTGTAGTTGTAGATCGTTAAATAGAGTATTAAGTGTGGTACTCTCACCACTGAAGACTCGCAGCCACAGTGGAAGTAATGCCAGTAATTACAGTTTATTCGTTATATTGAGATGAATGTATGTAACCGGTGAACTTTTTGGAGGAACCGAGTTCAATATCCTGGACTTGCCATACAGTCTTAACACTTATCCTTCTTACCCCTCTCGATATCAGAGATTTACCTAATAATGGGCTGTTTGCACTGGGGTGTCAACCAATTGGGAGGCGGAGACGAAGGTGCCCCCAGTAAAAAAAAAAGTGGTCTTACTCGGTGAGTGGCAAATGCAATTACATGTCCTCCGGCGATTAAGGGAAGGGTGCGGAAGGGTTTCTACAACTTTTTGTTCACTCTCCTATTCCATTTCTTCTTCTTCTTCTTCTTCTTCTTCTTCTTCTTTCTCTCTCTCATTTTTTCTTCCACGTTTCCCCTCCTTGGTTTGCTTCGGGGTACTTTCTTTTCCTTTCTTTTCTCTCCTTCCCCTTTTTCTTTTTTCTCTTTCTTTCTTCTCTTCTCTTTCCTTTTTTCCTTTCTTTTCCTTTCTTTTCCTTTCTTTTCCTTTCTTTTCCTTTTCTTTGTTTCTTCTCTTTCATTTTTTCCTCCCCCCTCCACATCCCTTAGTGACGCCCCTGTCCCCACAATCACTTCACCTAGTTAGACTGGAGCCAATCCCCACCCTACGCCGTTCATGTGCATGTCTTATTTGTATC